TTTAAACCACCTAATTCACCATCCTCTTAGGTTGTCTTCGATTCTTACAATTGGTATCAGAACTTGGTCTCCTAGAGATTAAGCTCAATCGGTTTTGGAGTAAAAATGACAACCAACAATGCCATGTTCTTTGAGGGACAATCAGTCACTAGACCTCCAATGTTCAATGGATCAAATTATGTGAGTTGGAAGGAAAGGATGATTATTTTTCTACTGTCTATTGATATTGAGTTGTGGTTTATTGTCAATGAAGGTCCATATAATGCTTCCATTACTGATGAAGATACAAACAGGCCGAGACCAAAAACAAGAAGTGAGCTGACTGCTGAAGATAGAACTCATCTCTCTCTAAATGCCAATGTGATGAATGTTCTATATAGTGCTTTAAATTCAAATGAATCTATTAGAGTCAAGGGCTGCAAATCTGCAAAAGAGATTTGGGATAAATTTAGAGAAATCCATGAAGGAAGTGAGAGAATGTGAGAGAATAGAAGAAGTCCATTCTGGTCACTAAGTATGAATCCTTTAAGATGGAATCTCATGAAAATATTGACAAGATGTATTGCAGATTCAATGACCTTGTTAAGGATTTAGAAGTACTTGAGAAGGATTACTCTCTAGGTGAGAAAAATAGAAAAATTCTGAATGCCCTATCGAAGGATTGGAAGAGTAAAGTGACTGCCATTGAAGAAACCAAAGATCTAAATATATTATCTATCGAATCTCTTATTAATTCACTGACTTCTTATGAGCTAAAACTCAAGTCCAAGATACAGGAAGAAGAAGACACAAAGTTGAGAAAGAGTATTGCTCTGAAGGCCTCACAAGATGAAGATGATGCAGCCTCCCTAGATGGAGATAACATGGAAAGTGATGACAGTGATATTGCACTCATCACACGAGACTTCAAAAGAATACTCAATAAGAGAAGATTCAGAAAAAGTGGATCTAGCAATTCTTTTCCAAATCAGTTCAACAACTTAAGAAACAAAGGAAAGTCAGAGTTCAACAAAAAGCAAACTGATTAGTGCTTTGAATGCGGCCAACCTGGACACTATGCAAATAAGTGTCCAATGAAGAAAAAGAAGAAGAGCATGGTTGAACAAAAACCAAAGTTCAACAATTTTCAGATCACCTAGAATGACTGCAATTCAGAAGGTGAAGTCGAAAAAGAAGAGGAATCTGCCCAAATAATTTTCATGGCCATTGGTGATGAAGAGGTGAACCTGGTGAACACTATTGAGGAATCGAAGTGGTTCATACATAGTGGATGCTCAAGACATATGACTGGTGATACATCATAGTTCATCAAACACAAGCCAAAAGCAAGCGGAAAAGTAACTTTTGGAGATGACAACAAAACCAAAACTGTTAGTATTAGTGATGTTGGTAAGAATGGTCAAACCTTTGTTCACAATGTTCTTTTAATTAAAATTTTGAGCTACAACTTGCTAAGTATTAGTCAATTGCGTGCTAGGAATCTGTTTGTGCTATTTAAAAAGCATGAATGCCTTATTCTTGACTCAAAATTCAACACTGTTTTCAAAGGAAAAAGAGTAAATGACATCTATGTAGTTATCCTTGAAAAAGTTGATTCCTCTAGCCTTAGTTGTCTCAAAACAGCAAATGAGGACCCCTGGCTGTGGCATAGAAGGCTCTGTCATTTCAATATGAATTTGCTAAAAGAAATTTTCAAAAAGGAACTTGTTCGAGGGCTTCCAAAAATCAAATTTGAAAAAGACCGAATCTGTGATGCTTGCCAATTTAGAAAACAAGTCAAGGTATCTTTTAAACCCAAAAAATGTGTTTCTACTTCAAAGCCTCTAGAACTTTTACATCTTGATCTATTTGGTCCTACTCAAACCACAAGCCTAGGTGGCAAAAGATTTTGTCTTGTTATGGTTGATGATTATTCTCGATACACTTGGGTGATGATCCTTGCACACAAAAATGATGCTTTCAAAAATTTTATTTTAGTATTTGCAAAAGTTCAGAATCTGATTGGTTTGAAAATCATCAAAATAAGGAGTGACAATGGCTCAGAATTTCGTTTCTATGATTTTCCAAAATTTTGTAATAACAATGGTATTACACATGAATTTTCTATTGCAAGAGTTTCCCAATAAAATGGGGTTGTTGAAAGAAAAAATAGAACTCTCCAAGAGGCTGCTAAAACCATGCTTAATGAATGTAATTTACCAAAATATTTTTGGGCTGAAACTGTAAACACATCCTGCTATACCATGAACAAAATTCTTTTAAGACCAATTTTGAACAAAACTTCCTATGAGCTGATGTTTGATAAAAAGCCTGTTGTTAGATATTTTAAATTCTTTGGTTGTAGATGCTTCATTCTAAATATCAAGGAGCACCTTAGAAAGTTTGATAAAAAAATCTGATGAGGGAATCTTTTTGGAATACTATGAGAATAAGAGAAGTTTTAGAGTCTATAATCGTAGGACTCTGGTTATAGAGGAAGCTATACACATTACTTTTGATGAATCTAATGGTAACATCTCCATGAGGTGTGGTGAAGATGATGATGCAGGTGTTCAAGAAGAACTAAAGAGGCTAACAATCAGTGACCAAGGCACTGCTTCACTAGAAAATGATTCAAAGGAAGATGAAACTCAGGACAGTCCAACCAGAGAAAACAACGACAGAGACTCTACCACTCCTGATGATCTTCCAAGAGCCTAGAAATTTGTCCAAAACCATCTTAAGGAACTCATCATTCCAAAAAGGTCAGAACACGTTCCTCCTCTAGACAACTAATAGATAATTTTGCATTGGTCTCACATTTTGACCCCAAAAATATTGTTGATGCATTGAAAGATGAGAACTAGATTTTAGCTATGGAAGAGGAGTTAAATCAATTTGAAAGAAATAAGATTTGGACATTAGTTGCTAGACCACAAGATCATCCCATCATTGGCACCAAGTGGGTTTTTAGAAACAAAATCAATGACAAAGGTGAGATAGTAAGAATAAGGCCAGACTGGTAGCTAAGAGATACACTCAAGAAGAAGGAATAGATTTTGATAAATCATTTGCACCCGTAGCTAGGTTAGAATCAATTAGAATGTTTTTGGCCTTCGCATGCTTCAAGAACTTTAAATTATTTCAAATGAATGTTAAAAGTGCTTTCTTAAATGGATTTATTGATCAAGAAATTTATGTTGATCAACCTCCTGGTTTTGAAAATAAATTTTATCCAAATCATGTTTTTAAACGTTCAAAAGCCTTGTATGGATTGAAACAAGTTCCAAGAGCATAGTATGAACGTTTGAGTGGTTTCTTGATTGAAAATGGTTTTAAAAGAGGCATTGTGGATACTACCCTTTTCACTAAACAAAATTCATGAGATCTTTTAATTGTACAAATATATGTGGACGATATCATATTTGGTGCTACTAATGAGAGTTTGTGCAAGAATTTTTCTAATATCATGCAAAAAGAGTTTGAAATGAGCATGATGGGAGAATTAAATTTCTTCCTTGAACTCCAAGTGGTTCAAACCCGAGATGGAACATTCATTAATCAAACCAAATACACCAAGGAGCTGCTAAAAAGATTTGGAATGGAGGATTCAAAACAAGTTGGTACACCTATGTACACATTTACCAAACTTGACAAGGATGAAGAAGGTACAAAAGTTGATGAAAAGAAATATAAAAGTATGATTGGTAGTTTGCTTTACTTAACAGCTAGTAGACCTGATATTATGTTTTTTGTGTGCCTATGTGCTCGCTTTCAATCTTGTCCAAAGGAATCACATTTGATTGCGGTAAAAAGGATTCTTAGATATCTTAAAGGAACCTTGAATTTTGGCCTTTGATATCTTAAGTGTCATGAACTTCCTCTATGTGGATTCTCTGATGCTGACTTTGGTGGCTGTAGGGTAGACAGAAAAAGTACAACAGGTATATGTAACTTTTTTGGAAATTGCTTAGTGTCTTGGTTTAGCAAAAAACAGAATGCTATTTTACTGTCTACAACTGAGACTGAATATATTGCTGCTGGTGCTTGTTGTGCTCAACTATTGTGGATGAAAAACACATTGAATGTTTTTTATTTGGTGTATGATTGTGTGCCTATGTACTGTGATAACACTAGTGCCATCAATTTAACAAAAAATCTCATTCAGCATTCTAGGACTAAGCACATAGACATAAAGCATCATTTCATTCGTGATCTTGTCCACAAGGGTACAATTTGTGTTCAATATGTTCGTTCTGAATATCAAATTGCTGATATCCTCACAAAAACCCTCCCACTGGATCAATTTGTGTATCTTAGAACAAAATTGGGCGTTTCAGAAAAAAGTTTCTAAGTTTTTTTTCTGGTCTTTCTCTATCAGACGTCCAATGAGTTAGAACGGACGTCCGACAGTGTTCTTCATTCCTTTTCCAGAAAAATTTTGGTTCGGACGACCGTGTCGGACGCTTCACTTCATTCGGCCATCCAACACTCAAAAATTGAGTCTTATAAAGTAATTCTCAGCATCATTCAGTTCATTCTTACCATTCATCTCGGACGCAACTTTTCACATTCTCTCTCAGTTCAAAATTCAAATTCGTTTCTCTTTGAAACAAGTTCCAACAAATTACTCTGGCCGACACCTTCTCACACCTATTGTGTATTTATTGTACTTCATATCTTCCCCCAACCGCCAACTACAATATAAATCCCAATTTCTACCCAAAACCCTAAATCACTAAAACTCACTCTCTGTGGACAATTTGTGCATCCATTGTAGTTCATACTAAACTCTTTCACCATTTGATACTCATCTGCACTACATCATACAACACAAACACCACTGCATTTCAATCATGGTGAGAATCAGAGAGGGATCCGTGAGTGCCGGACGCTCTTTCAAACTGCGTGATGAAAAGGATGAAGATGTTCAAGTTATTGAACCCTCCATCAAATCACCGAAGAAGAAAACTGGAAATCGTGCTGGAAAAACGAAATAGTCTGTAAGAAAAAAACAGAATATGCAAACCAGAGAGCCATCTGTTGAACCATCTATTGAGCAGATGGAGGAACAGCAATCTAAGGAGCATCCAGTAAGTGACAACGAAGAGGAACCAGCACAACCCACCAATGCAGATGTAACTGTCACCAAATCACCCAGGAAGGGTAAAAGGACTGCAAAAAGGAAGAGCACTGCTCAGCCCAAGGAAAAGCAAACTATTGATCCTTCTGGGGATCAGCAGAATGTAGAAAAAACTGCTGAGGATCAGCAAAATGAGGAACCACCTACCAGGAAATCACTAAGGACAAGGTCTGGTGTCCAAAGTGCTGCACAATCTGCTCAGCGCAGTGGAAAAAAAAAAGCGTCCTGAGCAGCCTGAGACTGAAACTGCTACTGAACCCACTCCTCTACCCAAGTTCATCGACGATGAAGCCAGAGACAGGTTCGAATAGATTTCGCAGAAGGGCTTCATCACCCAGAGGACCATTATCCCCTACAAATTCCTTAAGCTTGATTTTGAACCTGTTCTCAACCTGTTTGAATTCCAAAAATGGACCCATCTGTTAACCATTCCAAACACATACTATCCTGACATGTTCTATCAGTTTTTTGCTAATTTTAGGAAAGGCAGATCACATACTGATCTCATTTCTCGTGCCAACTCTGTTAACATTGAATTGAATCCTGACATTGTTAACTCTGTTTTGGAAACCAAAATTGAAAGTGATTTTAAAGGTAAAATTGCAAACTTCTTTTCATACGAGGAATTTCCCTCTCCATATCATCACTTTCATATTGTAAAATTAATGACTTATTTTCAATCTCATTTTAATACTCCTGCTGAGGCTAGATTGGAAGATCTAAACCATCAGAATCTGATTATTTTCACCATAATTTCAAACTTGTTGGTGCCCATTGATGGCCACCGAACTGATGCAAATAAAATGGAACTTTACTTGTTCTACTATTTTCTGGAAAAATTCGAATTGATTTTGGCTTTGTCATGTGTAAGTTCTGCTCAAGATAAGTGCCGACAGCCATAGGAAACTGTTCTATGAAAAATTTCTGACTCCTATTTTCAATCATTTTGAAATTCCTTTTTCTGGCAAATCCCCAAAAGAGAGTGCATCAACTGTGTTTTCAAAGGCTTACTTTGAGAGGAAAATTCTAAAATTTTTTTAGAGTCACTGGTGCTACAAAGAAACTGTTTCTGAGTCTAAGAGAAAAAATCTTCATGAAACCCCTGTCACCCCTAGGACTCCTCGTGACCAGTCAATGTATGTGACACCCTTCACCATTCATCCCAGAAAATCAGTCTCTAAATTTTCTTCATCCAACCCTAAGGTCATCACTTTGCTTGAGCACCTCAAACAACATATCTTGCTTCTTAAAGATGGCTTGATAATGACCATGACTTCTGATCAACAAGCTACCTTTATTGCCAAAAGGAATCTGCTTGTACCTCCCATTCCTCCTGAAAATGAAAGCACACCGAAAGAAGCCTAGAACTGAGCCAACCACTGAGGCCATCCCAGAGTACCGTGCCTCCAGTTCTCAACCACAAGACAAGAGAAAAGCTCCAGCAATTGAAGAAGAAACTGAAGAAGAGGATGACGATGATGAGGATAAGGACACTGAGGAAGAAGATCCTGCTTAATTTCGTTTGGCTAGAAGAAGGTCTGGATCCTCCAAAATCACATTTTAGGCACCCCTAGACACATGCACCTCATGGTAGTTCATGCTTAGTTCTTGGCATCCTTTGCGTCTCAAAATTTATGTGTTTTGTATTAAGACTTCTACTTTCTCTTTCACTGCTGGTCTGTAAGAATATTTGGATATTTTTGTGTGCTTTGAACTTGTTACTTGTTATTCCTATGTTTTTTGATGATTTTCTGACATTGTTTGTTAGACAATATTCTGGATTTGAATTTGTTGGAAAACATTCTGGATGAATGTCTGTTGGTCAGTAATGAATTTGGTATTCCTATGATTTGTTGACTCATGATTTGTTGCATGAATGCTGAGCATGGTTGATTTAATATGGCCATGGTTGATTTAATGATGATAAAAAGGGGGAGAAATGGATTGAATATGAACTCTCTATGTGAGGGGGAATCAACCTCTTCTGAACTAAAGGGAGATGCAAGGAAGGAGATGCATTATGTAAGGGGGAGTATGCGTAAGGGGGAGCTATACTTAAAATTTCTTTTGCTCCATCCATTATTTTGTCATCATCAAAAAGGGGGAGATTGTTCATGTGAGGACCCGTGATTTTATTATTTCAAAATATTGTTAAATTGGTCATTTTAAAAATATTTCGTACTCGAGTTACCAAAAAAAAATACTAAAGTACATGAATTTCTGGAAAATAAATTTTACCGATTGGTTCTTTACGCTCATATTATTTTAATGCCCAAATTTATTCAAGATGAATTGCTTATCGTGATTTTTATTGTTATATATATATATATACTTGGATTATCATATTTTAGAGTTTTAGAATCGAATAAGTTGAATTTCCAAGTTCAAATGAGAAAACCCTTAAGTTTGACCTTTATACGCGCGCGTGCCGAAAAGGCCCCGACAGGCACCTTAATTTGATTAATTGGAGATTTTAAGAACATGATATTAGACTACTAGTAATGTACTATTAATGTACTAGGGAAATTATCTCAGAGGTTTAGTGCACAAAAGTTACAAACGAGCGCAAAAATTGGACACGCGAAGACCCTAAACGGACCTAGCATGAGTTGACACTTAGATTTAACCATTAAGTCACCAATTCTCTCCACTTTCATTACACCATCTGATTGCACTCTCTCTCCTCTCTTCACTCTCTCTGTTTGGCCGAAAATAGGAAGAAAAATGGGAGAAAAATCTAGCCAAAATCCTTACAAAATTACTTCAATTCACTTCCAAATTTCATCATCCATTAGAGGGCTTTGATGCTAGCTTGGAAGAGGGGGCTGTTCATCGGTTTTCTTGGAGGAATTTTGGTCAAAATTTCTGCCCTAAAGCTGTCCAACTAAGTTCTTGAGGTAACTCACTCACCCACACTTCAATCTTACAAAATTATAGCTCAAATGGAGCAAAGGTAGCATGGGTTTGCAACCTATGGTAGAATTTGGGTTGATTGGTTGAGTAATTATGTTTTTGTAATTTCATGACATGCTCGAGGGTTTGAGGATGCTTATTGGTGGCTGATGTGATGAATTAACATGTTGTGGTTGCTGATATTGTGCTATATAGAATGATTGATGGAATGAAGGTGGAAGAAAGTTAGAAATTTGGAGAAGGTACTGTCTGAAATTTCTGACTTGCTGCCCGACTTTCGTGTTTGCTGCTGCCCTGTAATTTCGAAAATTTTCTGGTGCTAATTGAGCTTCCAAATTGGTGTAGATATGTTGTGCTATGTGTATTGTGGTTGTCCATGAAAAATCAACCCAAATGGTTGGTTAAAGTTTGAGTTACAAGTAGAGAAGCAAAACTGGAACAAGCTCCAGAATTTTCTGACCAGCAACATTTGTGTAGCTATAACGTTTTGCTCGTTGATCAAAATTGACTGCCGTTTGGGCATTTGAAAGTAGACTCTTAGAGCTTTAAAATGGTACCAAGCTCATTTTCTAGTTCGTCCCGAGCAATTCGTGGCGAGTTTTGAAAGTTGGCTGCCTGTTTATTACTGTTCATCCGAGACTGTCCAGAAAATCCATTTTGCTGCTTGATTTTGAACCGCTTATGTCTGGATTTTGGAAATGATTTCTTCTACATAAATATATCCTTGTGAACCTAGTTTCTAACACCACCAACCGTTTTCAATTTCACTGAGAATCGAGTGAGATACGGCCTAATTATCGAAGTGCATTAAATCTGGAAAATTTCTGGAAAGGCCAACAGTCCAGGAATTTTAGCGAACTTCAACTTTTTATTTCTTGAGCTAGGAACATCGGAATCGAGTTCTATTTTTTTTTTTTGAAACCTGGATTGGAAATTTACATGCATATCAAATTTCAAAGGTTGGTTTTGATTCTATGATTTTGGCAAAAATTCCAAATTTATTGGAAAAAACTTGGACTGTTTTGACCTATCTTCAATGAATAATAAACTTTCTTTGAGAAATTGACTTTTTTCTGATTTGATTCTTGGAAAGTGACCTTCTACAAAGTTGTTATGCTTCGAATGAAGTTTTTGACGGTGTAAAATTTTCCATTTTTAGACTTTCCGAACTTCCGGACTGATATTTTCAAGAATGACTCGAAAAGTGAAAATTTCCAATTTGGACCTAAATGTTCTTTTAAGGGCCTAGGTTATATTTTTACAACTCTTAGAGCATTTCAAACCTATTTTTATGGTGAACTTGAGTTCACCTATCACTTGAGACCTCATTTGAAAGTCGGTTCCTTATGAACTGAAATACTTTGGAAACTGGAATATTGGAATCAAAATTGACTGTTTCTTTTCTTTACACGAATACTGTATGAGATACAATGCATTATTGCATACTTTCAGGATATCAAGAGGACTTCGAGGGAACTCCCGGCGAAGCGTCTTAGTGCTAATTTCTCAAACTTTGACTTTTGATAATTGGTGAGTATCAAGTGCATGTGAAGTGTTTAAATGAAATTATTCTTGTACTTGCTAGTTAATGAGGCTAGGGCGTACTTTATCGCCCTTGTCCTCTCTTTCACGAAATTGCTTGCTTGATAAGTGATACGTGTTACATGTGAATGCAAATGAAAGTGTTTTTCGTGAGCATTGAACGGCAGAATGTATCATGCCCTTTTAGGGTAGGAGGTACCGCTCATCCCGTCTCAATGCTATGACCAAATCTTGTCGATTGGAGTTTCGTCTCATCGACCTAAAAGTGAATGGGGGGGACACCCCAACCCATTGGCTAGCCTTGTAACTCGAGCCAGCAAGGGTTTGGTCGAGAAACTTGGTGAACCTTGGGAAGTGTTATAGCTTGATCCAAATAAGGGGTCTTGCTAGGTATACTTATTAAGTGATACCACCTACATGCTTGTTTGGTTACGGATCCAAGAGGGTGTCATGGTGGCTGGAGGTAGTAAGTGGAGTTTTACATGGATAACTGTGAAAGTTGACGGAGGGTCAACTACTTGAGCTTGGATCGCGCGTGGATTAGCTCCTGAGAGCTCCCGTATCCTTTTATTGTGATTAAATTCCCTACTTGCTTAATGTTTCGCAGTTACTTGTTACTCGAGTTATTGCTTTATATTGTGTCTTTGCTCGCATGCTTGCATGCCTTTCCCTTAGCCTCACTGAGTGTTAGCTCACCCCAATTTGTTTTCCTCAACAGGAATCTGGATCGGAGATGTTTGAAGAGATCGACGTGTTTTTGATATTTTAGAACTTTGAAAATGAAATTTAAGGGCTGGTTATGGACTTGTATTTTGGAAATCTGAATGTATATATATTGGATTCTTGTGTTGTAAGTTTGAATATATCGAAGGAAATGAATTTTATTTAATTTGCCCTTTTAGCCATTAATTGCTCGTTTGTTTAAGTATAAATGGACCTGAGTTTCCATTTCCAAGGCTTAATTAGTGACCCCCAAAAATAATTTTTCCCCACAGGGCTCGAGGCCAAAGAAAGTGCTTGTATTGAGTTATTAGTGCCTGAAGGGATATCTAATATATAATTTGAATTCGATTCACCTGATAAGTATTTGATGTAATTATTTGAGAACTGAGAACTTTTGTCTTATTCGGGGAATGATACCCTTACTTGAGATTTGTAATGTATCTTATCTCATTCTAAGTTTGAAAAATGTTATTTCATTTATTCTTGAGGTTGTACCCTATGTTATCGGATATGAGTGCTGTATTTTATTTGAGAATTGTAGTGAGTCCCGGCGAGAGTTGGGCAGGCGGTCCGCCGAGCCCTTTGGTTCGCCTTAGGGGTGGTGGGGCTGTCACAGTTCATCTCAGTCCGTATCTTTTGACGATGACAAAACAAATGGATAACACTAATATTCCCCAAAATAGATATTTTTAGATTTGGAGCAAAAATGGCTAACAAATGTTGAAGCATGCACAAAAAGTCTGCATCGGCCATCCGACAACCTTCGAGCAACTTCGGACGCATAAGGAACTCACTCTCGGACGTCCGAAGAAAATGAACCTAGCTCTCTAAACTCATTGATTTCGTTCGGACGAACAATACCTGAGTACCGGACGTCCAACAAACGGTGCGACACTTCAGACGCAAAGTATTGAAGCACCGGACGTCCTAAGCATTTCAAGAAAAACTTCTTGAACTCACTACCTGCGATTGGATGCGAAAAATATGCCTACCGGACATCTGACACCACCAACGGCTAGTTGACTTTTCAACTGCCTTCTATCCGTTAACAGCATTTATTGGAGTACTTTTTGGTCTCTTATAAATAGAAAAAGTCAATCACTTCAGAATTACTTTTGCACATTGAGACTACATCAGATCTTGAGTGATTCAAGTGTGAGAATACTCCAAAAAGAAGATTTGTACTCTTAGTTGTGTAATTTTCAATAAACTTTTCAAGTGTGTGTCAATTTCTTCAATAGTGTAGCTTTGTGAGGGTTATCCGAGTGATTATAAAACTTCCTTGCTTGATCAAGTGAGACTTGAAGCAAGGAGGAAGTGATCCTTCCTTTGTAGACA